CCACTTCCCATCCAGCTCCCTGCATATTACCAGGAAAAAAGTGGAGGACCCATGTGAAAGATACAAAGCAGTCTCCTAGCTCCCCTGACCCACCCAACTCTGGCCATTGTGGCCTTTTGGGGAGTGAATCAGCAGATGGAAGCTCTCTTTATCTGTCCTTATGTTTATAATTCTGCCTATCCAATAAAAATCAATCTTTTTAAGACTGATTTTTATTTTTATTACAAAGTCATATATACATAAATACAGTCACTTGGGGAGTGAATCATTGGACAGAAGATCTTCCTCTCTGTCTTTCCTCCTCTCTGTATATCTGACTTTGTAATGAAAATAAAATAAATCTTTAAAGAAAAATGTATTTGGGCCTGGCAGCATGGCCTAGCGGCTAAAGTCCTTGCCTTGAACACGCCAGGATCTCATATGGGCGCTAGTTCTAATCCCTGCAGCTCCACTTCCCATCCAGCTCCCTGCTTATGGCCTGGGAAAGCAGTCAAGAACGACCCAAAGCCTTGGGACCCTGCACCCGTGTGGGAAATCCGGAAGAAGTTCCTGGTTCCTGGCTTTGGATCAGCATAGCATCGGCCATTGCGATCACTTGGGGAGTGAATCATCAGACGGAAGATCTTCCTCTCTGTCTCTCCTCTCTGTATATCTGGCTTTCCAATAAATAAATAAATCTTTAAAAAAAAATGTATGTGTAGCAATGTCTTTACATTTACACATTTTTCTAATTATATATGTAAATATGGAGCAAATGGGAAAATATATATTTGTAGATATGTAATATTAAAATAATACAATAAAGCAAATACAGCAACTAGGTAACAAGTGAGGAATCCGGGTCCGGGGCACAATGGGAGTTCCTTATGCTATTCTTTCAACTCCTTTAACTTTAAATGTTTTCTTCTGAGATAATTGAAGTACTAGCAGATATTTTCTATTTCAGACACACTTGGTGCAAGATAATATCATTGGCAAAGAAGCCTGGGACAATCCTTTGGCCTGGTGGTTTAAGATGCCCACCAAGAGCACCTTGTCGCATAGAGGTGAACCTGGATTTGATGCCTGGTGCCAGTTTCTAATTCCAGCTTCCTGCTAATGCAAGACACTGGCAGGCAGCAGTGATGGTTCCTGTAACTGGCTCTCAGGTCCAGGATCCACATAATCCACATCCAAGATATGGAATCAGTTCTCAGTTCCCAGATTTGGTCTGGTCCAGCCCTGGCCACCATAGTCATCTGAGGTTTGAACCAGCCAATTTGAGCTCTTCCATGCTCACTCACTCTTTACCTCTACCACTCATATATATTTTTAAAAGAAAGAAGTCTTACTCCACAATTTCCTCTCCTTAACACTTGAAGCAAGAGCATCCTGATTGCTTTGTCATTTACTGAACTTGTCACAGAAAGAACTGGAATTTACCAAGTTTAACTTTGTCAGAGCATATGAGTATACAGGGCAACTCCCACTCCTCTGCATGGGGCCAGTACATTCGGGAGAGCAGAACCCGACAAAACTAGCACCCCAAAACCACAGAACAGTAAAAGTCGTAAGTACATATAGGAATGTATGAAACAAAATACTAGCTTGTTCAATTCTAACAGAGTCTTAGGAAATAAGACTTGCTAAAGAGGCGTTTTTCTGAAGCAAAATCTTTTTGCCAACTCAGAACAACAAAATACAATAAACAATAATTATTAGAAAATTTTAAAAACTTACATACTAGGAAAGAGCACTGGAGGTATTCTCACCAAAGCTAAGAAAATTACTCCGATTATGATTGTTATTATTCAGCACTTTTCTGGTGGCACCAGCCAACTCACTTTTTAAACGGAAACAAAATTGTTTCTTAAATTTAGGAATCTATCTACAATATTCCAAAGAAGCCACTGAAAATTATTAAGACAAATCTAATTATATCTAATACAAATATAAATGCTTTATTTTTATATTAGGCTCAGGAGTTAGCAAAACTTTGTCCATAAAGTGCATGGAAAAATATTTTAGACTCACTCTGTGGGCCATGTAGTCTCTGTAGCTGTTTTCCACTCTGCCCCTGCACCACAACACCAGACACTGATAATGCATAAACAAATGCATGAGCCTGTGTGCTAATCAAACTTCATTTACAAAACAGGCTGGGGTTAGATTTGGCCTACTGTTCCCTATGTTATAACACACACAAACAGAGCTGATGGGGGTAATGTGTAAGAAACTATATAAAGATCCAAAGCAAATTTTCTGAGGAAATATTCGGCCATGTGCATCAAAAATTAAATTGCAAATATTCTTTCATTCCAACAGTTCCACATATGGAAACTTATCCTAAGGATATATCTAGATAGAGATACAAAATGTGCAAAGATGTTTATTACAATGTTATTTATAACATGAAAAGGTATCTACTGATGGAATCCAGATCTATAAAAAATATATTGATTTTCAAACCAGGTTAGAGACTAGTATTATGAATCAGATAAGTTTTTAAAATATGCAAGTGTGGATATGAAGTTATGCATATGGACCTACAAATCAACAAAGCCTTGAAAGATATATAATCAATTAATTTATCAACAGTTATTTCTAGGGTGCATTTATGGGTGACACTGATTCTGTGTTTTGCCCTTTTTTCCCCAACTTAAGTTTAAAATAAAATTTTTCATTTCTTAGGGGAAGCCAGGAGACCAAAACCTCTGTACTGCTCTATACAATTCTCATATGTGTGGATTTTGAAGGAGCCCATAGTTTTCAAAACACAACAGTGCTTTCACTTTCACATCCTCAGAAACATCTAGAAATTACACCAACTACTTCATGTCCCGAGTATGTCAACCTCATATTTGTAACTAATAAAAGGAGGACATCTATCAACAAATCTTGTATTTTCTTATCCTTCTATAATATTTTGTGTGTATGACTATGTATATACTACTGTCTGTCAAGAAAAAAAGTCAAAGAGATGTAGGAAATAGACCAAAACAGTAGAAGAAGACCAATGTGGATCGATGTCCTGCAGGAAAACAAGTATTAGGAAACTAATTTCTATGGTTCTATAGTAAAAGAAAATTTCATCTGTTGGGTTAGGAGAGAAAACTCTGATCCTCTTGCAAACTCTTTATCATAATTTACCAACATTAAGCTTGGATTTCTTAACAGAAAACACAAGTCCAAGTGACTTATACATAGCTGTAAGATGTCAGCATGGTTTTCTTTACTATTGACAATACATATCTAAATATTTCATCAATGGTATCACTTATTATAAGGTACATATGTGTATATGTAAATTGGTACATATTTAATTTTCACATGCCTTTGGAAAAAAAATCAAGATGACAGAGAAAATAATAGTTTTTTTAAAATATCTGAAAGGCAACGTTAGAGAGTGCAATCTTCCATATGCTGTTCACTCCCCAAACGGTTGCAATGGGTGCAGATAGGACAAGGACAAGACAGGCACTTAGTGTATTTCCTGCTGCTTTTCAGACACATTAGCAGGTAAATGGATTGGAAGCGGAGCAGCCAGGACTCAAATCAGTGTTCATACAGGAAACTGGCATCATAGGTGGTAGCCTAATATGTTACAGCACAATGCCAATCCCAATTCTTACAACTTCTCAGGAATTCTTCATAGATGCCATCTATGGGCATTACTCACAGATGTCAACAAGAAAAAAAGGTGCTACTTTTGCCTTCTCAAAACAATTACCTTATCTGGCTTTGAAATCTTCCTACTTCCCTTCTGAAATGGCTTTTCTCCAATAGCTTAACAAAAAAAAAAAAAAAAAAAAAAGCATCAGACTTAGGGCAGGCATTTGGTGTATTTATTGAGATTCCTCGTAGGACACTTGCATTCCAGATCAGAGTGCCTGGATTCAAGTCCTGATTCAGCTTCCAATTCCAGTTCCCTGTAGATGCCCACTCTGCAAGACAGCAGGTGATGGTTTGAGTACTTGGCTCACAGTCACCCACACGGGAGACCTGAACTGAGTTCCTGGCTTTTGACTTCTGCCTGTGTGGGCATTGTAGAGAGAATAAACAGAAGCACATTCTCTCTCACTCACTTTTAAACAAATTAAATAAATAAAAATGTTTTAAAAATTAATTCTTAAACAACCTTTAAACAACAGCCATTTCCAGCCTGGGCGGAGGTGGGGAATGTGCGATCATACACATACATGTGCATGTACGGACACGTGCAGGTTGTGTGAGAGCCAGTCACTGCAACAGAAGCCATGGGAGGAAACTGCATCTCCCTAGAGCCAGGAAACAATGAACAAAAACTGAGGTTTACACTGAACACAACAAGTAAGTATGTTGATTTACCATAATGTTCACTCACTATTCCTTTGCTATCAGTCTCAATCAAATGCTATTTATCCTTCTGCAGTGTAACTTAGTATTACCATCAAACACAAACCTAACAACCTACATCAATAGGCTTGCATTGAGATCTAAGTAGACCAAAATTTCACAAGCTACCCTTTGAATCTTCCATTTTAGAATTCTTGGAGGGAAAGGTGGAGGTGGGGAGGGTGACACAGTAGGCTAGAGCCTAAATCCTCGCCTTGCATGTGCCAGGATCCCATCTGAGCACCGGTTAGAGTCGTGGCTGTTCTGCTTCCCATCCAGCTCCCTGCTTGTGGCCTGGGAAAGCAGTCGAGGACGGCCCAAAGCCTTGGGACCCTGAACCCACGTGGGAGACCTGGAGGAAGCTCCTGGCTCATGGCTTTGAATCAGCTCACCTCTGACCATTGCAGCAATTTGGGAATGAACCAGAGGATAGAAGATCTTTCTGCCTCTGTAAATACGTCTTTCCAGTAAAAATAAATAAGGCCCATCTGGCCCATCTTAAAAAAAACCTGGCTGCTAGATTTTGATTAAAAAATTCTTAGAAATGAGTTAAAAGTGAACAGTCATGCCACAAATTCCAAACTACATATTTTTCCCAAATATTGCTCTCCACAAAGTAATACCGTCAAAGTCCAGTGGAAACTTACCCTTCAACTTGAGGTCAACATTATGTCTCAGCCAAGGATAAACCCCATAGCTTGGCATGTCTTCAGGAATTGGATTATTGTTTATCCAGCCATCACAGGCGAACCGGAAGAAATTATCACAAGGATCCACAGACAGATTTACTTTACTCAAGATGGCAGCAGCTATTTAAAAAGAAAATCATAGGATTAATGACACGCATTGAACATTGTGTACTGTTCTTCTCCAAATTAAATGATTTCATATCAAGCAGTTTCAAGACCTTGGCTTTTACATTTCCCCTCAAATGATTGTCTGAAAGCAGTTCATTCTATGAAATGGCTGCATTCAGAGTGACTGAGTAAAGGTGGCGGGGCGGGGGAGGGGGATGTTATTGTTACTGACTTTTGCACAACTGTCCCTAAACTATGTAGGACGTGGGACAAGAATGCAGATGAGCACGCAGTAAATTGTTTACAAGTATGTGTGACCCTTCCATCCCTCTTGCCCTTTCGCTGACTTTACTACTCTTCTAATCAAGTAGGAGGGTCTACTTCCCCTAGCTTGAATCGCTACTGACCTTGTCTCACTTGAAGCAAGAGAACTGGCAGAAGTGACTTTTTTTTTTTTTTTTTTGAGTTTCAAAGCTAGCCTGAAGAGAGAATGCATCTTCCGGGTTGACTCCCTTTGCAGAGGCCTCCACGAAGGCAGGAGAGAACACTGGGGAGGCCCCAGCAGCACTCACCACAGCCCCCACTAGTCTTCTAGCTCAGCCGGCCCAGCAACTGCATACAGCTGCCTGCCAAAGCCTGTGCAGTGGCACTAGGGAAGTCATCCACCAAACCCACAAAATCAGGAGAGAAACTTGCAGTTGTTTTTGCTTCAGGCCTCTGAGGTTTGGGGTAGTTTTGTTTCACATCAAAGACATCCACATCGTCCATCTAAATATTTATAAACTGCATTGCCAGTATGCCTTTATGAAGACCTGGCAGCTCATGCACAGACGTTTGCTCACCTGGGCATTCGATACATCTTTCACTGGGATGAAGCCATCTGGCAGGGAATTCTGGGGCACAGAAGAGAGATTTCCCCACCTGACTGCACAAACTCCTTGAAGGGAAAGAGGCATGGCCAGAGGAGGGCCATAGTGGGGTGCTCTAAAATGACACATGAAAGTCTCAAGGCAAAACTACTTAGATAAATTAACAGAAATACTCAGTACACTGATGTAATCTTTGTTCCCTCTTCTATAAGGCCACCAACAATTTTACATGGAACAGAGTCCTTAAGATAGAAAACTGGTATATATCCATGAGTTTAAAATATAATCTTTCATTACAACTGAGAAGGTCCAAAAATTCCTATTGAACTCCACTGTCTTCCAAACACCATACAACTGCTGCATACCACCCAAACTAGCACAATTTCATGCATCAAATGATTTTTTTAAAAAAGGTAGCCAGTGTTTTAATGATACTGGAACGATGATATCCTGGGCTATTTTCATACTGTAATTAATGCCAAAACACATTTATGTTTAAAGTAATGAAAACCCAATGAACTTCAGCAATATATGAATGAATTGCCTCCAAAAACTACAATCTCCACAAATTTAGACACACATTTTTTACACTTTGGTCACACGTGTAGTTCCTCCAGGCTTAAAAATAACCTCACATATGTGTCTGTCCTAAACTCTCTACTAAAATTCCAGAACGGGTTTAGTACTCCTTTAAGTAAATAATACACAAGCACCCTCATTTATATAGTACTTCAACCCCCCTACACAAATACACACACACACACATTTTCAAGCCCTTCCTAAAAAAAAAAAAAAAAAAAAAAAAAAAACAGGCAAAAATGGTTTCATTAAATTCAAATTGGTTGATTTTTTTGTTTGTTTTCCACAACCAATTCACTTGTCTCATTACTTTGTTATCTACTGCTAGTATTTTATTACTAATATTTAAGATGAAGACAAGTGAGGACATGCAAAAACCATTCTTCCAGGTCATGTTTGTGGTTAGTATATCAGCTACAGAATGCCTTGGCTACGTGACACCTCAGGGACAGGGGCCAACAAGCCTCCATCACACACAATATTTACAGTCACACAGCAGAGCTCTCACCTGCAATTTTACTCACACAAGCACATTGCTTTCTGGCCTCCTTCCCAAACATCCCCCACCCTCAGCCCTCACATCTATCCTCCGCCACCTCCTCCATTTTCTCGCAGGTTTCTAGGCAATCTGCAAGATCAGCTCTGACCTCCAGCCTGATACAAAGGTGGGCGATCCATCACTCACACTGAATTTGAAAAGGAGCCCGCCGAGAAAACACCAGCTTTGGTGCATAATTCATCATTCCCCATTCATAGCCAGGCATGGAGCTGCACATTCTGCAGCAAAGCATGCCTTTAAATTGCAAGGGACCAAAGCTGTCAAGATACCAAAATGCCTTTCCCCTACTGAGCTCCATGGAGGAAACCAGAATCTTGAAGTAATGAAAGATATACAAAGATGTGAGAAAGCTGTGGCCGCTCAGTCCACGCTCACCACTCACTGCATGAAGGGGTAACCGTTCTGCAGTCTGAGGCTGGTTTATGCTAGTCACATATACTAACCTGGCTTCTCAGGTTGATCAGGGCTCAAAGGAAAGGATATTGTTCATGCTGCTGATGATAATAAATTCACTAGCACCGACCTTTCCTGTTTGCAAGGAATTTTGCATGGTCACAAACTCAAGCCAGATCCCTTGAGTTTGAATAGCTGCAACAACACCTTACCTCTCTCGTCTTAGTTTCCTCATCTGCAAAATGAAACTAATAGCACCCTATAGGATTTTCATGCAAATTATATGAGTAAATACATGTAAACTGCTTAAAGCTGTGTCAAACTCACTGCCATAAAAATAAAGGATGGCTGGGCTAGTGTGCTGACTCAACAGCCTAGTCCTCCACCTGCAAGCACTGGAATCTTATGCGGGCAATAATTCTATTCCCTGCTGCTCCACTTCCCATCCAGCTCCCCATTTGTAGCCTGGGAAAGCAGTAGAGGATGGTCTAAAGCCTTGGGATCCTGCACCTACACATGAGATGCGGCAGAGGCTCCTGGCTCCTGGCTCCTGTCTTCAGATAGGCTCAGCTCTGACCACTGAAGCCACTTGGGGTGTGAACCAGCAGAGGGAAGATTTTTCTGTCCTCTCTATAAATTTGCCTTGCCAATGAAAGTAAATAAACAGTAAAAAGTAAAATAAATTCAGGGTGTTCCCTGAAATTCAAATTTCGATAAGCAGCTAATTAGTGACAGAAGTCCTCGCCTTGCACGTACTGGGATACCATATGGATGCCAGTTCCCATCCCAGTAGCCCTACTTCCCATCCAGCTCCCTGCTTGTGGCCTGGGAAAGCAGTAGAGGATGGCCCAAAGCCTTGGGATCCTGCACCCATGTGGGAGACCTGGAAGAAGTTCCTGGCTCCTGGCTTCAGGTCGGCTCAGCTCTGGCCATTGAGCCACTTGGGGAGTGAAACAGCAGATGGAAGATCTTTCTCTCTGCCTCTCCTTCTCTATGTATATCTGACTTTCCAATAAGTAAATAAATAAATAAATCTTAAAAAAATCATGTAACAAATATTGCATGGGACATACTTATACCAAAAAAGCAGGTGTGTTTTGCAATTCCAAGCTCACTGAGTGTCCCAAATGTACTTAGCCCAATCTGTGAGTCATAAACATGTACATTTGCCATTACAATCCCATCAACAGTTCTCTGAAACTCTGAGGCTGCATGCCTCTGAGCTCCTAGGCGTGGAGATCTTAGAAAGTGAGGCCTATGCCATAGATTGTTTGCTAGCCCGGCACCGCCTGGAGGTGGCACCATGCTGAAGCAGGGCATTAATATCCCTACAGGGGAAAAATGCATATTCTCACAAGTGGAAGCAAATCTAGATCCTCCTCACAGCACTTGAACTCTGGTTTGTCTCCAAAAGAATGGAGTTCAGTGCTGGTCTTGAAGTTACAACACTTTCTGGGCGTGGGCTTAAGGATCTAGCATTGTACACCTGAATTATTACTGAGATCATCATTATTTCACTCTCCCCGCTAATGGAACAAGTGAAACATGTCAATGTCATTTTACAGATGGTCAAACTGAGGTTAGAGTGGCTATGGATTTCACAGAAGATCGTGTGGCTTGTCAGTGTGCAGGCTATGGCTTAAACCCAGCCAGCCTGCCTGCTCTTGCCCACTGGCATTAGTATGCCCTTTCCTTTTTATGTCTTATTCTTTAGTGGCTCTTTTTAAAAGGGATGGGGATGGACGAATATGTAGAACAGGAGGGAAGCAGAGCTATGAAGAGGAGGCACTGGCACCTGCTCACACATGGTGCAGAAGGCCATCAAACACTTCCATCCTCTGAGCTGTGCATGCACACCCCCACCTGCACACACACTCTATTTTAAGGCACTGACTTGGCCACAGCTTGCCTGCCAGGTGCACTCAACTGCTGCTACACTGACCCCAACGGCATGCTGAAGCTCATGTTACACTGAAGAGGGCCGTGTCCTAGATGAGCTTCTCATTATGGAAACAGCAAGATCAATATTTTTTGTCCAACGATAGAAAACCAGTCACCAAGTGAAAATCACAAACAGGCCGGTCAGGCCAAACACATTAGCTGGCAAACAGTGACATCATCAAACCTACATCTGCAACTTTTATTCTTGAATTATGATTTATAATAAAGAAACACAACTCATGACCATACATGGCCCACACATTCAAAAGAGTTGCCTGAATAATGTGAGTTATGGTGAATTAAGCCAAGACCATTACTTGCTGAAAATTTAGAAACACTGTGTTGAAGTAAACTAATGGAAACAATTTAGGCATTCCTTCTGAATTCACCATATGGAGATTATGAATAAAAGGTCATGGTTGAAAAAAAAAAAAGAGTTGCCTGAACCCAAACTGAAAGCTTGTCAGCTCAAGAATTTCAATTTCACACACACTTGCAAGAACCCCTACCACAGCAAATGCATCAGATGACAGGACATCGAAACAGTGTTCACTGAGAGGCTCACCTGGTCCTCTCCCAACTAGAGACACTCACCATGGCTTGAGCCAGGAGTAGAGAGCCTGGGAATTCTCAAACCAGTACAGAAGAAAGGATCATTGTCAAAGGGTGTCAAGACAGCGAGAGAGTGGGTAAGATGCAGCTAGGGATGTCCTCAACTGACATCCAAGTACCCTGACTTCAAACCCAGGCTCCACTTCCAATTCCTGCTTCTGTTCATGTGTACCCTGAGAGGCAGCAGGGGATGGCCCAAGTACTTGGGTTCCTGCCACTCGTGGCTCGGTTGGGTTGAGTTCCTGGCTTCAGCCTTGTCCAGCCCTCACTACTACAGGCATCTGGAGAGTGAATCAGCAGACAGGGGAATCACTTTCTGCCTTTCAAACTAAATAAATAAAAACTTTAAAAGGGCTGAAATTGTTCTCTAGCCATTAAACTCTGGTAGGTATAGGGTTATAATAAAAGAACAAAGGATCTAGGCTGAAGACAGATGGATGGCAGGACCCATGACACCAAGGAAAACAAAAGAGAGGAGACCAACAGGGATTTGAAGTTCACCTCTGCCACCCACGCAATATGACCATGCACAAGCTACTTAGCCTCTGTCAGTGGGGCTGGGATAATACTGACATCATAAAGTTCTTATGAAGGTATTGTGAGATGCTATCTATAAGTCATTTAACACATTGCCTGATTTTATACATACATATCACTTTAGAATGAGAAAATGCTGATAAGATAATCTAACCTGCTACTTTCATACAAAGCCTTAGAATTCACCAGCTCTCTCTCCTAGGACTTTCTAATCTCAATAAATGTCACCATTAGGGCTGGTACAGTGGTGTAGCAAGCTAAATCTCTGCCTGTGGTGCTGGCATTGTATATGGGTGCCAGTTCGAGTCCTGGCTGCTCCACTTCTGATCCAGCTCCCTTCCTGTGGCCTGGGAAAGCAGCAGAGGTTGGCTCCAGGTCTTCTCTTTCTATACCCATGTGAGCAACCTGGAAGAAGCTCCAGGCTCCTGGCTTTGGATCAGCTCAGCTCCAGCCATTGTGGCTATTTGGGGAGTAAACCAGCCGGCGGAAGATTTTCTCTCTCTGCAACCCTTCCTTTCAAATAAAAATAAATAAATCTTTTTTTAATTCCAACTATAATCTTATAAATAGTTACTGCCAACAGCCAGCCACTGCCCCAAATCTAAGCACCATGCTCAAAGTCTTGGTTTTTTCCCATGACCCTGATCTAATCCTTCAGTAGGCCCTCTATCTCCTTCCCCTCCTCCACACACTGTCTCACCATCTCTTGAGCTCAAGACACCCTCCTGGCTCACATGGTTTACTGACGCCACCTCCTGGGTGAGCAGCCTTCTCTCAGACTTGGTCCTTACACCACGTCTGCAGCCAGAAAGCCCCCCCACACCTCCCCAGCTTTCTATGTGGAGATCTTTCCAAATGCCCAGAGCCTTGCAGAGGCTCTGGAGCACAATTAATTACTGCCGAAACACGTGGCACCTGGCCCTCCACTGAACTTCTGTCACTTGAACAGCCTTTGCCCTGGCTGTTCCCACCGACCTCCACCCTCTCACGCCCACCTAGAAAGCTGATGCCTCAATCTTCACTTTCACTGACCAAGCGCCCCCCCCCCACTCAAAGATGCACAGGTCAAACCCCCCAACCAGAACACACACAAGACTGCTTAACATCAATCAGAATCTGCAGCTGGCTGAACCTCAGGGTGGCCAATGGTCTTCACTGGCTGGTCTGGGAGACCATTCAGGCCCACAAGGCCTGTCCTGATTTCGTTATAATGATGCTGGTAACACCATACAACTGGCATTTGCAGGGAAAACAGGAAACCTAAGACCCACTACTGCATACCAAAACTTGCAAGTAAACTTCACATTTCTTCAAAACTCCATTTCATCCTTGGTAAACCTCAAGCAAACAGAGTACTAAAAATGTCACCTGTTTTCTCCTGCACTCTACAAAGTACAGTGATTATAGCTCTACACAGCGTGGAAAGGCGGGACTTACCAGCTTCAATGCACTGTGGCTTCAGGCAGTACTCCTGTTTAGCTTGAAAACTCAGGAGGCCTTGGCTCACTGAAAGAAAAGAGACGGAAATCAATGACTGGCTTGTAGCAGACCATCACTGCTAAAACACCACTAAGCACAAGTGCAAGACATCTGTGATCACTTCATCCTTCTCGGGTTTGGCACAGTATTTGCAAATGCAGCTGGTTTACAGCCCCGGGTTCGCACTCTGGTCACCAGCTAGGTAGCCTTTAGGAGCCCTTCGTTGCTCCGAGCCCAGTGCTCTTGCATGGAAGACAAGCAGGTGAGTGGGCACAACTAGGGCAGCATGCCAAGTTCCTCATCCTCAGCACCCCAGAATGGCAGCCTGGGAGTTGTTACCTAGGCCCATCCTCAGTGCCCACCACCTATTGACTTCTGAAGCTCTGCGGGTGCGGTGTAGCCATCTGGCTTTAACAAGAACCCCTGCCTCTTTCAAGTTTCCTCCATCTCCAAAGATCTCCTACTTTTACCCCTCACATCTATAAGCACAAGCCTGGTCTTAATGATGGGAACACTGAAACTTTTAAAACTATGTCACTTGGAGTAAAACCAGAGTGGAAGGCAAGAGGTAGCAATGGGTGGCATTTGGAATTCCAGATTGGACTGAAATCATGCACAAAGGACCAAAAGAAAAGGGAAAGGATGAACCCACTGTACCTCACTCACGCATCTACCACTCACCGATGCTCTGTCCCCAGCAACCTCCTCTCACGAGGCCCAGCCCAGCCGCCAGATCTGTGCAGATTTGTGCACCAAGATTTCTAACTGCTTCCAAAGAAAACATCCTGTACAAGCAAGATAGCTATTGTACCAATGGCAGACTCTTCCCATCTGCCTAGCAACAGAGGGTGAGCTCCAGTAACACCTGGGCACTCGCAGCTGGGAAATTTATGGTGTCAGAAAGAGTCCTGCTAGTCTAGGAGACTGTGAAGGACTCACCAGGCTATTTATTCTCCATGAGGGCAACAGCAAGAAGCCATGCAGAGATGTGGCCACAGGCAGGTGAACAGTGCAATGTGAGTGGGAGCCAAGCATCCCCGCGAGAGCCTCAAGCAGGAAGCCCACGCAGGAAGCTCGGTGCTTGCTGTCTCTTCCAGGTGCTGCGAGCTTTATTACTGACTAACCCACCTTCCAAGAAGAGTCAGCTCTTCCTTTGTTCTTTCTCACCCACCATCCACCCAACAGCCTATCTACTTTTGTTACATGACTGATTCAAGAACACTGACTGCAGAGCATCTCGGGCTTAAAGAAAAGTGTTCCTTAGCTTAAAGGTATATTGTGGTTTCTTTAAAAAAAAAAAAAAAGTTTGCTGAAAAAGGAAAAAGAAAAAAGTTTGCTGAAAAATCTACACGCACATCAGCATAAAGACTAATATGCACTCTCCTCACACACCTGAGTGCTGGCATCTTGCAGGGTACTTCCCTCGGCTTTCTACATTCATACAGTTAGCAAGGGTTCTTTAGTGAGCATGTGTCCCCTTTCTATAATGGAAAAATTAATTTTATGATAAATAAGATTTGTATAATTCTAGACAATACTTTCTGATGCTACCTTTCTTTTTTAAGATACATGTTTCTTTTTTATTGGAAAGTTAGATATACAGAGAGAAGGAGAGACAAGGAGGAAGATCTTTCCATCTGCTGACTCACTCTCCAAGTAGCTACAGTGGCCACAGCTGAGTTGATCCAAAACCAGGAGCCAGGAGATTTTTCCAGGTCTCCTATGTGTGTGCAGGGTCCCGTGGCCTTGGGCCGTCCTACACTGCTTTCCCAGGCCACAAGCAAGGAGTTGGATTGGAAAGTGGAACAACTGGGATTAGAACTGGTGCCCAAATGAGATCCTGGCACATACAAGGTGAGGAAATAGCCACTAGACTATCGCACTGCGCCCTAGCCTTGGGTTGTTTTTTTTTTTTTTAACAGACTTAAATGAAGATTTTGTTGTTGTTTTCGTTCATTATGGGTTTTTTTTTTTAATAATCTTACTTAGTTGATTAGGGTACAAAGGGTCAAGGGCTACAGGAAAGTGGGTTAAACCATTGTTTCCACATCTTTTTTCCCCTGTATCTGGGGTCAGGAGAGAAACAAAGCGAGAAGTCCCACCCAGCCTCCCATCCATCCCAGGTCCCCAATGTGAGGCATGCTCCAAGGGTCCTATTCAAGCAGTTTTGGTAGTTCAACAGTTCTAAATTGCTGCCAATCAGAATCCACTGGCTGACGTAATCTCTTCATGGTTGGGGTTCTGAGATGAGCAGTTCAGTTGGAGGGATCTCCAAAGAAACATTGTCTAAGGTGATCCAGACCTGATTCTTGTGTGTGCTTGCCAGCACAGGGTGCAGCACACACACACACAAAAAAAAACAACTAACAAAATCGTTACTTTAGGGTCTCGCATGATGGCTCAATTAGATAATCCTTTTCTTGCAAGCACTGGGATCCATATGGACACCGGTTCATGTCCCAGCTGCTCTACTTCCTATCCTCCTCTCTGCTTATGGACGGGGAAAGCAGCAGAGGATGGTCCAAAACTTTGGGACCCTGCGTTCACATAGGAGACCTGGAAGAGAGCTTCATTTGAATAAGCAGAAAGAAGCTAGCAAACTGAATTAATTGGGACACAGAGCCAACCTTTGAAGGAAGAGCACTAAGTCTGGTTTAAGGTCTTGAAAATAAATGAGGATCAATAAACACAGACAAGCTAAAGATGTAAGAGATCTTTGGCTAAAATGGAGACAACAAAGAAAACATTTCAATACAAAAAAATCGAAAGGTTACTTTGTATTGGTTAGGATCTTTGAAAAACTATACGGTTTGATTTATCATTTAGATTTCACTGTAATCGGTATAAATGTCCTCATGGTACAGTGCAGTCATCCACGGATCAAGTGCAGAACAAACATAAAACACAAGTCAGCAGAACGCTTGCCCATGGGTCAAATCCAGGTCACTGCCTGTTTATTGCTGTACAGCCTACAAGCTGGGAACAGCTTTAACGCTTTTTCAGGGCTGGAAAATATCAAAAGAAAAACAGTATTTCACGAAGTGAAAATTAAATGAAATTCGAAGTTCAGGGTTCAGAAGTCAAATGTCATTGGCACACAGCCGTGCCACTGTGTCCATATTATTCACAGCAGATTGGAGGAATTATGACACACACTACATGCCCCTGGAATGGAAAATACAAGGGCGCATCAACATGCTCATGGAAAACGGAACTTGACGATAACTTTATGCGGGATCCAAAATATTTTGAAATCTACACCTAATTTTTTATAATAAGCATTTCATGAACTTTTTGAACATCCCTCATACAGATGGACTTCAAAAATGTTTGCACCACAATAAACTCATCTTTTACTTCTGTTTTCCACAACTTTCAGAAAAGTGTGCTCAGATTTACTACCTGGTTCCAGAGAAAATACCCTGCTTACCACTGCATCTGAGAAACTGTGAAGAGGAAGAAGATGGGGAAGAAAAGCCAAGGATATTTGAAAATCACCTGCTTATAGGCCTATAGTTACACCTGCCATTTCACTTTCTAGTGCTCCAGGTTCTCTGCAACCACCTCAACGCCATGGGCAATGGGTCTTACTGGATAAGCTTAAGCTCCAGAATAGAAACTATCCCAGCTCCTCAGACACAGAGAAGATGAATAGAAGGATGCTAGACATTGCAGACACGTGGCTGAACTTGGACAGAAAACTATAGCACAAAGTCACCCAGGAGGCCACTGGAAGAGGACCCTAATTACAGTATCGGTCTGCAGAACATCACAAAAGTTTCAGGCAAGGATTTGTGAAGTACAGAGTACAGGTGGGGGGCATGGCCTTGGGACAAGCGGTGAGAAGGGGAGGGACAGAGATGAGTCTGAAATAGTGCAGAAATACTGGACAAAAGTAAGTGTCCCTGACTTGAAGTGCATTTGCGCAAGAACCTTGGGGGAAATGTAGCTTGTGAATCAGGAGGCATGGCAAGCAGCTGAAGCTCCCGAGCCCAGCACTCTGGATAGGAAGGTGTAAAGGGCTCACCTGCTCATTGGTCCACATGCTGTGTCAGCATGAGACTGACACAGAGACTGGGGAAGAGCCAGAACACACTGCAGGTGCCTCTTGCTTCTCTTCCACAGGCCTCCTGTACTAACGGCTCAGCCGGTGTACTTTTCCTTTGCTCTACAAACTTCAGTGCTGTTTCCAAAGAATCATTTTCGATCAAAGCACAAAGATTTGCTGCCATGGAGACCCTTCTCAACTAACAGACCAGGCCACAGAATGTAATCACGAAAGGAGACTGTTTAAAACATGTCATGTGATGCTAACATCATTAAGGAGAGCACATATTTTTACATAAACAATCATCATTCGCATTTTTGAGTTTGGGAGTGTTTGCAAAGCTTAACCTTGGAGTCATTTCCCATATACTACATGGTCCCGTGGCGTGACCATAGACCCTTTCCTCCAGTTTTAGGTTTCAGGAGGGGACACTTGTCACAACTCCAAGGGCTGAGAAATCACACAGCAGTGTTCCAAAGACACTGGGGCAGGAGGTTCAGCTTTACCTCATCTAGTCCCTGAATCTTCAGCTGCAGAAAACATGGAAAGATGCTTTGCTCGTTTTAGCCGAGTTTTCAACCACACAACCACCCTACGTCTTTTAAAGTGTAATTACTGGTTTTCCTGGCCAAAATAAACATGGCCTCCTGCATCCTGTCTGTGCCAGGGCATGCTTCCAGACTTGTTACATTTCAAGCTGCACCTCGGATCTCTAAGTAGAGGGCTTGTTCCCAAGGAACTTTCAAGTAATGAAATAGTATCGGTTGACTGAGAAAAATAGAGGGCAATCATCAGGAGCCTAAAATTGGAGAACCCTCACCCCCTCCCAAGCCATTTCATTCTGTTTTATAGAAATACCTTTTTAAATCATCACCTAGAATCTCCAGGTGCATCATTCTCACCAAGTCATTAAAATAACTGAATAACAATACCTTCTGAATCTTGAGAGGAAAGTGTTTTCCTTCATACCAGTGCATCTAATAGCAAAGCAGTGTTACCGTCCCATCTGAATCACTCTATTAGAAAGGAACTGAAGAATCCCATTTGGATGCACTTGAAAGGACTGATTTGTGTTTTGTGGATTAAATGTTGTGATTTGTTTAGGCAAACAGGAAAAGGCCAATGGAAAGAAATTCCAGCACAGTTTCAGTCACCACATAGTCATTACTCGCAAAATAAATGAAAGTATCTGGCTACAAACCCATAAACACTCGTTCTGCAGAAAGTGCTACACACAGCGGTATTTGCCCAGCGCGCACAAACGCACCACCTCTGTAAGCCGCTTTACACCCACTCTGCCCTCTGCAGTGCACACCAAAGGAAAGCCTTTCTCAATTGCCCGTGTGATAAGACAGCGAGGACGCATGACCTTCTAACCCCAGCAGACAGTCGTGCACAGGCATTAGGACAAAACATGCTAGAACAAAGCACAGGGAATTTCTCAGCACACGCCCAGGGCCTACAGTCTCCGGGATTCCACTTACCTAGAAAGAGGATGGTGCCAAGCACCAGCGTGCCGCCGATGAACACGACCAGGGCAATGCGAGTGCCTCTGGTGGCTGTCTTCCCTGGCTCCACAGCGCTCCCTGCCTCTGCCTCCATCGCAAGGGTCTGAGAGTGCACGAGAAGTAAGTCCCTGTCTCTGGCTTGGTGGCAGCTCTCAAGAGTCTGCTAGGCGTTGACATCCAAGACTTTCTTGCTCTTCCACTTAATGGAAAGCTAAAAAAAAAAACCCCAAAAACAAACAAACAAAAAAAAACACCTCCCCGAGAAAATCTCCCCTCGCCACCTTTTCTCAATGAAATAGTGAAAATGAAATAGAAGAAACCCCAAATATTAGTTGCCTTGGCTTTCCCACTGCCTAGACCAAACAAACAGTGGTTTCTTTATCTTGGTGCTCTCCTTCAGCAATGTCCCTTGCAAAGCAATTGTTGGCAGGCTCTTCTCTCAAGTGCTCTGAGTATACATGTTTTACTATGTTGCTGAACAGATGTTTTAGCTATTTAAATGTATAGTCCCTTGGGGAGCAAAAAACAATTGTCTTTATCAAAACTGGATTCTTGTCAACCCCCCCAAACCATGATAAGTTAGGTGGCCAGGACTCGCAGGACCCACTCACAGATCTCAATCAATCATGTAATACTGCTGTGGTATACTGCTGTGGTGATCCGTCGGCTTGCCTGGATGGTCGTCAACAAAGATAGCCTCTCAGTGTGTGAGTCCCTTTTTAAAGCCTTCTAAGAGTTCCTAGGATATCCTGGAGCATTTTATTTTAGGAACTTTGTGTATGATAGCATGTGCCAAAAATCAGAGTCAGAGTCCAGCGCTGTGCAAAGTAGCAATTAAGGCAACCTACAGAGGCTGATGGTTTGGACTGGAACTTTTTTTTTTTCCCCTAAGGAAGAAGAAAAAGCATTTCCTCTTCGTGGTGCTAAGAATTGTACAAAAGACAGCTAAGTATAGGAATTAAGCTTATTAGCCATCACAAAACGATATGGTAAAAGGCTTTTTGCCCTGCATGTTCTGTTGGAAAGTGTACCCATGTTTTCGGGTCTGCAGTCCACTGAGGCAGCAGCCATTGGTGAGGATGGTTTGGTTTCTGTAACGCATGTATTTCAGCAGATTTATGATTAATGAGTGAGTCTCCGCGTGCTTTGAACATGGTAACGACTACCTCCTTGGTGGGGGGACAATAACTGATCTTCTAATACCCCTGAAATGATAGCGGTTGTATTACCCAACCATGTGGAGATCAGTAATTCACAACACAATCGCTACCTCTATTTTTGCTTTGCTGGAAGTCAGCAGGCAGGCAGGTGATTTCTAGAAACCAGAAGAACAATGGTCTCAAAGCAAAACTTGTGTTTGTGTGTGTGTGTGGTTGCTGGACTGCTACTAGAGCTCCAAAGACACTGATGAACCTGGAAGGACACAACCACAATTGGACTAGTCTTGGTCAGGCCTTAAACCCTGAGCATGGGATTCTCCCAAGGTCAGGGGCTTCCAGTGTAACACCCCCTGCTTCACTTTCTGACCCTTTCACGTCGTCTGAGAGCCAGAAGAACAGGAGCCTTTGTCTGAATTATACGATCACAGGATGTTCCCGATGCCCGTGCTCCTTGTAGGGGCTATTAGTGCATGGCTGTCCCTGGAGCACACGTCCCAGCAGCACTTGGCCCCAATCACAGGGCTCTCTCAAGACACCCTGGGCTTGGTTCCATGGCAGAGAGGGTGAGCTTCCTGAGGTGAGGAGCGGTGTCTGTCGGGCTCAGGGCTAAGACCCTGCTTCCACGGTTCCTGGGCCATCGCAGTGAGGGGAAACAAACAGCAGGTGCAACCACGCACGTGAGCCCGAGCCACTTCCAATTGCAAAGCATGACCAGAAACCTGAGAGGCAAGTGGCCAGGGGTCTCACACCACCTATCCCTTCTGACACTGAGGTAATGGTCCTTCACAGGAGTGTATACTTCCATTTTCTAAAAATAATAATAATATTTATTTATTTTTATTGGAAAGGCAGATTTACAGAGAGAAGGAGGCACAAAGAGAGACAGTCCTCCATCTACTGGTTCACTCTCTAAATGGCCACAATGACCAGATGAGCCAATCAGAAACCAGGAACTAACTAACTATCTTTCTCTCTCTCTCTCTCTCTCTCTCTCTCTCTCTCTCTCTTCCTTCCTTTCTTCCTTCCTCTCTCTCTCTCTCTTCCCTCCCTCCCTCCCTCCCTCCTTCTCCTCCCTCTCCTTCACTCCCTCTGTGTATGTGTCTCCTCATCTCTCTGTAACTTTACCTTTCAAACAAAACAAACAAATCTTTGGCATAGTAATTTAGTCCTTTGCTTATGAAACAAGTACCCCTTATGAACACTAGTTTGAGTCCCGGATGTTCCACTTCCCATCCAGCTCCCTGCTTGTGGCCTGGGAAAGCAGAGGAAGATGGCCCACAGCCATGGGACCCTGCACCTGAATGGGAGATGCAGAAGAAGCTCCATGTTTTTGGTTTCAGAGCAGCCAAGCTCCAGCCATTGCAAACATTTGAGGAGTGAACTAGCAGATGTCCTTTTGGGACATAATGATTATTCACGCTCAAAATAAACTGCACTTAAAGTAGCACAGGAAAAAAGGAAACTTTAGGGCAAAATATAGAAATTCAAACCAACAGAAGTAACAAATGCTCAAAAAAGACCAGAGCTAGCATTGTGGCGTAGTGTGCAAAGCTGCTGCCTGGGACAGCAACATCCCATATGAGTGCCAATTTGAGTCCCAACTGTTCCACTTTCAATGTGTCTGGGAAAGCAGTGAAAGTGCTTGGGCCCCTGCACCCACATGGTAGACCCAGAGGAAGCTCCTGGCCCCAGGCTTTGGTCTGGCACCACCTCAGCTACTTCAGCCATCTAGGCAGTAAGACAGCAGATGGAAGGCCACTCTTTCTGTTTCTCCCTCTCATGTTATAATTCTGCCTTCCAAATAAATACATATTTCGTTTTTAAAAGATTACTAAAGGATTCTATATACTCTATTATCTTCAAAATATATGGCCCTTTGCCTATTTTCATAGAGTTTTACTGGCAAAAAGTCATACTCATTAATTCACAAGCTGTCAATAATTGCTTTCATGCTACAAGGGCAAAGGTAAGTAGTTTTGCAACAGAAATATTTTGGCCTGAGTAGCTTAGAAAAGTTACCATTCATGGGCCCAGTGTGGTGGCGTAGTGGCTAAAGTCCTCATATTGCACATGCAGGGATCCCATATGGGTGCTGGTTTATGTCCTGGCAACCCTGCTTCCCATCTAGCTCCCTGATTGTGGCCTGGGAAAGCAGAAGAGGACAGCCTAAAGCCTTGGGACCATGCACCCACGTAGGAGAACCAGATGAAGCTCCTGGCTCCTGGCTTCAGGTCGATTCAGCTCCAGCCATTACGGCCATTTAAGGATCTTTCTCTTCCTCTCTGTATATCTGACTTTTCAACAAAATAAAATTTAAAATCATTTTAAAAAGTAAAAGTTACTGTCTGGCCTTTTGCAGAAAAAGTGTACCGACCCCACCTCTGTGGCACATAAACACGAAGCACAGTGTTCATCCACAGTGACCTGCAACACAGAATGGTTCCATTTGATATTCTCCAAACAGGAAGTGCTATGCCAGGGAAAATGATGAATGTCTCTTGCCTGCAACTATAATATTGAAATGACAGCATGTTATTTAGTGTGTTTGAGAGTCAAAAATCATTATTCAAGAGGGAAAGGAGGGATGGGATTGTCCAAAAATATTGCACAGCTTCTCTGACACTGTCAAATTAGTACCCGAACAAAACCACTGGGCAGGGAAAAGTCGGTTAATAGTTCGATCTGGAGGCAGGTATTGTGGCATAGTGAGTTCACTCAGTGCTTAAGAAACCTGCACGTCAAACCAGAGTGCTGGCTTGAGACCCAGATGTTCTGATTCCAAGCCAGCTTCCTGTAAACGTGCCAGGGAAGCCAGGAGAAGATGACTCAAATACTAGGATCTTTGCCACCCATCTTAGGAACCCAGGCTGGAGTTTCTGCCTTCAGCCTGGCCCAGACCAGTGGATTCTCATTCATCTTCTTCCTCTTTCTCTGTCTCTGTCTCTCCCTAATTCTGTCAGTTTTTCAAACAAATACGTCTTTAAAATAATAGTCTAATCTGCATTCACCCAATTGTGTCAATTAATGCCACTCAGGACCATCTGAAACCTTGCTAGGAATCAATGGGGAACAGTTCCCAAGAGGAGTGCCCCTGGACAAGACCTTGTGAGGGAAGATCGGGAGACAAACCGTCTGGACGCATGCAGAGGCCTCAGCCATGGAAATATGTGGAAACCTTTGGCAAGCTGGCCATGTAACCCTAAAGCACACAGGATGGCCAGAAGGGCAGAAGGAACCTGAGAAGCACAAATCTCTGAGTGACAAAATGTTGGGAAGACTTCCAGGAGGACTGCAGGAACAGGCAGCTGGAGGGAAGAATGGAAAGCTTCCACAACAGGCCAAACCCCAGCAAGAGGACTTGCCAGTACATTTGTGACTCTTCCCTGCAGGAGTCACAGGTAGGCTTGTTTATCCTGAGCTAACTAAATCCAGCAACTTGAGCGCAGGCTGCTAACTAGCCAGCATGCCAGGTAGCTGAGCCTTTACGCTGAAGGTGAACTCTGGCATCTAACATTGCGATTTTCATGTCCAGGGTCTTCTGTTTGAAGTAGTAAAATCCCACGTGGACCATAGCTTCACTGAGAAAGAAGGAAACAATCCAAATCCAAACAAATGTTTCTGTGTCTGCACTGGAAGGAGGAGGGGAGAGGTGAGGAATGGAGGCCAGGGAGAACCAGATGGTGGAAGCTCTGATCTGTGGCCTATAATGAATCTCTATTATTTGTTGGCAGGTCCTTTCAACTGGGCCTTCCATTCTGTTTCATTACTTCTGTTCTGAAATCTCAAAACATCTCTCTCAGATGGGTGTTCTTATCTCCTTTCACAGAGAAGGAACCAAAAGTCTGGTTCTATTAAGTCATTTGCCCAAAGTCGCAGGGCTGATATTAGTCTTAAGGCCAAAGCAGCTTCCAATTGCAACCTCTTGGGCTCCCTGCCATGTCACCTGATAAGCCCGCTTATCAGGCAATTAGTGCAGTACATGTCAAAATGCCACTTGAGCAGTGGAAAAGTGATAAACTA